CTGTGGGGTGCACCGGGATGCAGAGGGCCCAAGCTCCCACCTCACCCTGACAGCCTGGCCCTGCACAGCCTGTGAGTGCTTGAGGGTTGGAAACCCCTCACCACCACCACCCCAGCCCCGTGCCCAGCCCAGGGCCCTGCACACAGTGGGCACCACAGAAAGCAGCAGCAGCTGTGTGCTCCATAAAAGGGCATAGAGATGGGGGGTAGGGAGTGAAGGTCAAGAGAGAGGACAGCTAGGTGCAGGGCACCACCCACTGAGCAGAACCCAGAGAAGACGATAGGGAGGCAGCATGTAGGCACGCCGGCTGATGCTGGAAAGCCTTCCTCTGGCAGGGGCAGGAAGTCAGACAGGCCAGGCGTCCACTCCTACCCTCACCCCTGACCAGGGCCTCTGTGGCCTGAGTTCAGGTGACAGTCTCAGCAGGTGGGAATGGAGACAGTGTGGTCACCTGGGCAGGCAGAACAGCTGAGGAGCGAAGCCTGGGGTCCCCTGGGCCTGGGTGACTGGATTGTCTGTGCCTGGGAGGCTCTGTCCATCTTTTGCTCAAGATTCACGGACAGTGGAGTCTGAGGGTGGGGTGGGGGAGCAGCAGGCAGGACACTCTCTCGGACTCACTCCTGCCGGTCCCCTCCCCAGGAAAACCACATCCAAGGACTCACAGAGCAAGAACTCCAAGGCAGTCACATCTGTGACCTTGGAGCCCACCAGAGCCCCCATCTGGGGGGACACAGTGAAAGTAGAGATCCAAGCTGAGGACGCCGGGCGAGAAGGTGAGGCTGGGGGCCGGGTGGTGATGACTGCGTGGGACAGGGGGTGTGACTCAGAGAACCACTTAAGACAGTGGCAGAACCTCACCACCACTCAGCTGGAAGCCACCTGAACACCTCCTGGGGCTCAGTTAAAAGCATTTTAAAGGAAAAAAAAATTATAATCCTGTCACGCATCATCTCCCTAGTCTGCTCGAAAAATGAGTTGTTCCACATAAAAGAATTTTCCAGACAATGAAAGCTTATCTTTTTTTATGACGGTTGTTATTATTTTCATGGTATTACCACCGTCTCCCACTGCAGTAGCACATTACAGCTTCCTAGCACGTCCCCACCCGTCATTCTTGCAGAGGCACAGCCTCTCAGGAGGAGCTGTGCTGCTCCATTGCTTGGATGAGTAAATTGAGGTGCAGGGAATCTAAAGAACTTGCTCAAGTTCAAGTAGTCAGTAAGCAGAGGGCCTAGGACTCAGCATTACATGTTCTCGCAAAAGTCCAGTGTTCTATCTGCCTCAACTTGATTTTTTTTTTACATTTTTAAAAATGTCCCTAGACTGGATCCTTATCCCTGCCTAGGCCTTCCCAGGGCACCGCCCACCATCAGAGAGGAGTACCCCAGGGCTTCCCAAGGGCTGGGGTCTGCTCTTGTAGAAACTGCTTAACAGCTGTCTCCCCTTCACCCCCAGGGAGCCCTTTCAGTCCCCTGGTTTTGGCAAATTCCAGCATTGGTAGACAGTTTCGATGTTTCAAGGCAGGGCTTAGACTGAGCCCCCAGGCACCCATGTACACGCACACGTGTGCTCACAATTGTATTTTCACACTGTGGGCCAATCTGGTTTCCACTTCTGCGCCAGAGCTTGGGCTGGGCACACAGAGTACTCGCTAGTGGGTGCCGGGGCTGCACAGAGAGGTGCCCAGGACATCTCTGGCCTTCTGTGGTCAGAAGGACCTCCATCTCTCTTCTTGCAGGTGGTCCCCTCCCTGAGAGAAGAGACTTTGCCCCTTCCCTTGAACACTGTCAAAAAAAAAAAAAAAAAAATCTTGCCAAGGCCTTGGACAGAACTCTTCATTCATCTCACAAAGAGCAAAAAGCTAGAGGCTATGGGAATTGCAGGGAGAAGGAAGGGGGAACATCGATAAAAGGGAAGATGCTAGCTCTAGGTCAAACCAGAGAATTATTTTTTTCTGCCTGTAAAGGGGGATAGGTGGAGCTGTTGGGAAGGTTTGAGCAAATGCTAAGAGGAAGACAAACTGACCTAGGATTTCCTGCGAACGCATGTGTGAACCTGTGTAAGCTTGTCTTTGTGGTTGCCAGTGGGCTGGTTCCTATGTGTGTGGACACTGTGTGTGTGAGTACACACTTGTGTCTGTGCCTATTGGTATGCGTATGTCTCTGTGCAGGTGTGTGCTGATGCGTCTGGCTGCAACAGTGTGCTGAGTGTGTGCTTGGAAGCGTCCGGGTGGTGGTGTGTGCCTGCCTGTGTTGTTCTGTGTGTGTAACCCATGCAAGTGCATTCATGTGGCTGATGGGAAGATGGGGGTTGTGGTGAGTGGACCTGGGCTGGGATCCTCCCCTGGGTTCTACACACCTGGGGTGACTAGAGGAAGGGGTGTGATGAAGTCAATGGCCTTGAGGCCCATCTGCAGCAGAAATGGGGGCAGAAGGGATGGGAGGATGAGGACACTCCCTGGGCAGGCCAGGAATATTGGCAGGCGCCTCCTTGCAGATTGAAGTAGCTGGATGCTTGTTGGAACCTGCTTGGGACCAGTTGCTGTGGTGATGTCTGTGGTAGCGAGTAGGGGAGGCGGGGGCCAGGCCAAGAGGCGGGGGAAGGGCAGGCGGAAGCATAAGGATGTGTTAATGAAAAGCAAAGGGGAGTTTCAGAACCTGTGTCCTGGCCAAAGCAGGCAGGCGGCAGAAATGGCTTGTTGGCCGCACAAAGGGAGCAGCAGGAAGCTGGAGGGCACAATGCCCGGAGAAGAAGCTGATGAAGCACGTTTGTAGCATGGAGACAGGGCCGGGGTGGGGGGCGGACAGCCATCCCCCAGTTACAGATCATCTGCTGGTAGAGGCGGGGGCAATGCAGGGCACTCACCTCTTTCCCAGCCTCTTCGAATCTTAACCGGGTTTGGGGACTCAGGGCTCGTGGGGAGTGGGCCCCAGGGACTGCAGCCTCCACAGCTACTCTTGTGGCTTTGGCTACGAGCAGTGGAGTCCCCCAGCTGAATTTCCTCAGGTCTGCCTAGGGCTGGATGAGAGTAGGGTGGGCTATAGAAAATTAACAAGGAGAAAAATAGTGACAGCCACAAGGAACACTTGCACAAAATTTTGTAGCTTAAAAACCACACTCCCATCCCTACCACAGTCCTAGGAGAGAGACAGGGGTTTTCCTTTTTAAAGTATTAACATTTTTCAGAGCAGAAATTTAAGGCTCAGGTTAAGTGACTTGTTAAAGTCACAGAGCAAGTTGGTGCCTTGATACTAGGACCAAGTCCCTTGCCTTACCCTACTTCCTTCAAGCCAACCCAAGAACTTTTGCTGCCCTCCCCCACCCCTTTCTGTGAGCACGGATCCCATGTGGCCAGCTCTTGAGGGGCCTTGTCAAGTATCTTTCCCTCTCGATGCCTCCAGGCTAGCTGGAGGAGGGGGAAAGGAACAGTATTTAGCAGTACCCTCAGTTTCCTTCTACAGCCCCAGGTCTAGGTGACCCACTCCCAGGTCCACATGACTCGCCCAGCTCCAAGTGACCCAGAACCAAGGGGAACCCAGCCTGCTGAGTATATTAGGGCCAGCAGCTGCTCCTGGTGCTGAAATGCCCACGGCTCAAAGAGAGGCAGGGGAGACCTCTTCTTCTCCACCCTCCCTTTCAGGCTCTTCTCTACCTCCTTTTCTTTCCTTCTCTTTTCCCTCTCCCTCATCCCTCCTCCATCCTTCCCTTCCCTCCCCCATCTCCTCTTCTTCCTCGAATCATAGACTTCCAGAGTGGGAAGAAGGCTGGGGGTCACCAAATCCAGCCTCTCCCATCAACCATTTCCTAGCTGTGTGATGTTGATCAAGTTATGTATACAACCCCTCTCAGCTCCAGTGGACACACATCAAAAACAGAGATACTGATACCTATTCAAGGGATCGTGCCAAAGGTTTATTGAAATAATGACTGACGGGTGCCCATCCCCGTGCGTAGCACACAGTAGGTGCTCACTATGTAGTACCACCATGATTATTTCCTAGTCATTGGTGTTTTCCTTAGAATTCATTCCAAAGTTTATGCCTTTTAATGACAAAATGTGATCTCTTTGGAGGGAGTTTACTGAGAAGTGCATTGTTCTTAGTGTTTAGACTCTGTTTGCATTTATTTGGAGTTAGTTTTTATTGATATTTGCATTGAAGGATTTTTTAGGCAGAACACTTTTTCTTACTGAGCCTCAGTTTCCCCATAAGCAACATGTAGGAGATAATCCCTCCCTTCCTGCCTGATGATCTGGTGAGGGTGCATGTGAACAGAAGAAGGGACCTTCTTACTGGGGAAGGGGTACTCTTCCTGCTTGCGTGTGTATCTGTGTGTGTGTGAATGTGTGTGTATTGCCATGGGTGGTTGGGCTTAGCTCTATGTGTGTCCATCCTGGGGTTGGGAGTTTCTGGTCCACAGGAGAGAACTGCATCTTTGGGCCCTACTAGCATCCATCATGGGGTCTTGCCCTGTGCAGAGGCTCAAACGGTGCTTGTGGGGTTGTGTCTCCACGCATCTCCACATGCATTTGTGTGTCCCACATGTGTGCGTGCATATTGATTCCTCAGTGTGGTCCCCAAGCTCCTGCTCTCAGTAACGTCTGTTACCTCTCACTATCTCACCTCATTGGGAGGGTGAGTGGTCATCTAAGCCTTGTCCTGACTCTGCCCACTTCTTCTCTCTCCAGATGTGGTGCTCAAGGTGATGGATAACAAAAAGAAAGAGGAGCTGCTGTCCTACCAAATCCCCATTAAGTACCTGCGTGTCTTCCACCCCTACCACTTTAAACTGGTGAAGGTAAGTCACAGCCCCGGGCTTGGGGGCCACATGGGCCTGGGGCAGGTGGGTGGAAAGCTGGTAGCAACCACCTTGATGCCTCCAGCTCTTCCCAAGACTAGCTCTGGGCATCCCATGCTCACCTCGCACTATGGAATGATTTCCATAAGAGTTTGGGATTCTCTAGATTCATCTCCATAAAGCAGCCCTTGGAATAACTACCACATTAAATGAATGCACCAATTAAAGATGTATTCTGATTTCACATACGTTAAAAGAGGTGAGTATATCTGAAATCTGAAGAAACATAGTATTTACAGAGTACCCACTATGTTTCAGGTCCCTTGCTAGACACTACTCACTACCTCTAATCCCCAGGGTGAATTATATCTTGCATACAGGAGACTGAGGGCTTGGGGAAAGGAGTCCCCTCACCCTGGGTCACAGAGCTGGTGAATGGCAGAGTCAAGAGTGAACCCAGGTCACTCTGTCTCCCAAGCCAGTTCTTTCTGTGCTGCCTCCACATGCTGCCTGGGCAGGAGGAAGGTCCAGGAAAATTGGAGAATGTGAGAGATGAAGCGTTCCCTGGAATGTACCCCATAGTGGGAAACTGGGGGTGATCCTCAAGTGGGGAGGCCTCAAGGCCCCTCAGTCCATGGCTTGAACCTCCTGGGCCAGCCCTGCTTCCTGGCTCCCCTCCCCAGTGCTGATTAGTGGAAGGGAGAATTCACTCTCTCATTGCTTTAGTACTGATTAAACGCCTACTGTGTGCCTGGCACTGGGTCACAGATAAGCAGAAGCACCACCTTCCCCTGCCCCTACACGCACTCCAGACCCCTAGAGTGGTTTAGAGAAAAGAGCAATCTGAAGTCAGATTGTCTGGACTTATACCCCGGCTCTGCTGCTTACTAGCTGGATGTCCATGAATCGAGTTGCTGTTGAGTTATGTCCGACTCATGGCGACCCCATATGTGTCAGAAGAAAACTGTGGTCAAAAGGTTTCAGCAGCTGATTTTTTGGAAGTAGATCACTAGACCTTTCTTCTGACATGCCTCTGAGTGAACTTGAACCTCCAAACTTCCAGTTAGCAGCTGAGGGCCTTAACCCTTTGTGCCACCCAGGGACTCCAGGTGTCCATAGGAAACTGCTTAGTCCCCCAGGTCTCCATTCTGCATCAGCAAAATGCAGACACTATACCTTGTAGCATGGTCATCTGGATGATCAAACGCAATGCTGAGCATAAAGCACCTAGCAGGCAGCCTGGCAGGTAGCAGGTGCTCTGTTGGGGTTTGTTCCCCTCTTCCCTCGCTCCCCCAGGCCCCGTCACTGACTTTTCCCTACAACTCTTAGTTTAGTCATGGCCCAGGGACCTTACCTTCCTTCACCAGATCCCAAGGAGAACCCCAGGTCCGTCTTACAGAGCCCAGGGTAGCTTCAGGATGGGGCATCTGGCAGACAGGGAAGTGAAGGCCCAGAGAGATCAGTGAGCTATGCCGGGAGACACAGCACTTAAGCATAACCCTGGCAGAATTGCCCAGGCCTCCCAGCTCTCAGTCCGCTTACTCCCCAGGCCTCCTTATCATATCTTTACAAAGAGAGCAGGCAGGCCTCCAGTGGTCCTTGCGAGGGCGATGAAATATTCAAATAGAAAAAGGAAGATTTATTATATTGATCTCCCTGGAAGAGCTCACAGGGACCATGAGCTTTAATTATCAACTTGGAGCCCCAGTGGAGCAATGCCAAATGACCGTCTGCAGAGGGCTGGATTTATGGCCGGGTCGACCCTCTCCGCATTCGCCTTCTTATGTGTCTTCTTCCTCCACCCTGTCCCCAGCCCACCCAGTCTGGGAAATCTGGTGAAGCCACTGCCGAGACCCAGCTGTTCGCGACAGTCATACGGAGGGGCAGCTTCATTCCCCGCTACATCGGCTGCAAGCACACGGCTCTGGAGGTTCTGGGACGGAGGCCCCGGGAGGGTAGGGTGGGCAGGACACTAAGCTTTAAGCAGACCCCATGCCCTATCCTTGGTCACCTCTGGCTGGCCTGAGGGTGTAGAAATGGGGTGTCTGGGGAAGAAATGAAGAAGTGACTGAGCCTTTCGAAAGAAGTGGTTTGTAGAAAATCCCTGGGATGGCAGGGATGATAGGGATGATGATGATGATGATGATGATGATGATGATGATGATGATGACGCCTAACATTTTCCAGAACTTTCCAGGCACACAGGCCTGCCTTAGCCTCTTCTTCCCTCGTTGTCCTTGGAAGTGAGAGGAAGGATCCCTCACCACAGCTCTGTTCCTCCCACCCGTCCCCCGTACTGCAGGGAGGGTGCGAGACTCCCACAGCCCACTGGCTCCCTGAATCACCTCAGGGGAAGCCCTGTTCTCCCACTTGGCCCACAGTCCTGGCTGTTTTCTATCTCCTCCTCTCCCTCCTGGGGTAGCGACCCCTGACCTAGGGCCTAGGTTCCCCAAGCAAAAATTTTAGGGCTTCTCCCACCTTTTCCTGACTCCTGCTTCTGAAGAGATTTGACTGGCCTGCTGATTTGGTATTCGTTCATTGATGAACTATTTGCAGAGCTCTTTCGGGGCCAACTTCCACACACAACCCTCCTTCTGCCACTCCTAGGCCTTTCAGCAGCCTCCAGAGGGACTGGCAATGCTACGGGGCAGACATGGTCCAGGGCCCCGGCCCCTCCCCTTTCCCCCAGCCTTCAAACTGCTCAGGGCTATAATCAGGGTGGGAGTCAGTGGGGTCCAAGCTCTGGGCTTCCCGTGCCCCACCATGGCTGATCTGATCCTCCCCCGAGCGCTGTGAGCCTGGCAGGGCACGAAATGTTCTTAAGCCCCATTTCACAACTGGGGCTACTGAGACCCAAGGGGTGCCTAGAGCTCCTGGTCCACACTTGCTTCCCCACAGCCAGCCCTCAGATGCCATCATGTGTCCTGTTCCTTCCCGAGGACAGCCAGCAGCTCACGTGTATACAGAACCTGCAAGAGTGGCAACATCTTGGCTTTTCTGTCCTCAAGCCAAACCCCACAGGGAGGGACCACATCCCCAAGACCCAGACAGAACCTTAGGTCTGCAGGGGGGCAGCTGTGGCTTGCCCCACCCCACCCCAGCCCCCTGACTTACTGGTAGAAGTGTAGGACATAGACCCAGAAGTCTCGGCCTCCCTGCCCCCCAGCACGCCGCCCACTCCCCTGCCCAGTACCACGTCCCAGCACAGATACCTCCCTGTTTGTGTCTGAGCATACAGCCAGTGAGCCATGTCTGCTTCTGATGGCAAGCAGGTCAGCACAGCGGGAGCTAAAATCGCTTCTTCTGTTACTCACCGAGCTCCGTCACAAGCAGGTGTACTTGGGCAGCTGTCTCATTCACACTGCGTCAGTGTCGACACAGAACACGTGTAAGTTAGCACCCCAGTGCCCACCTAACCTCTCAGAGCCACCTCCCAGCCCTTACACCTGCTGGAGCCCCTTGAGCAATAAAGCCCGATAGCTCTCCAGGAAAGTCCTCAGGCCCAGACCCTCACGCCATCCAAAGTTTGAAATTCCACCATTACAGATTTATACCTTTGAATATCATAAAGGGACTTTAGTCTCCAGAGGCCCCGATGAGGTCTGAAGTGCCTTAAAAACCAGTTGCCGTCAAGATGACTCCAAATCATGGCAACCCCATGTGTGTCAGAGTAGAACTGTGCTCCACAGGGTTTATAATGGCTGACTTTTTGGAAGTAGATCACCAAGCTTTTCTTCCGAGGCACCTCTGGGTAGACTTGAACTTCCAGACTTTCAGTTAGCCAGCCACCAAGTAATTTACCCAAGTTAACCATTTGCACCACCCAGGGCCCCCAAAACACCTTGAGAACTATTTTATGCCCTTATCTGCTCACACCTGTGTGAGGTTAGCTGGCAATCAGCTTTGGGAGGTGCTAAGGAAGAGGAGGCAATAGAGAGAGGGTGTTCAGAATAATCCCTGTTCCTGGGCCCTTTCCTCCCACGAAGGTAAGAGTTGGAAGGACTGGGGAGATTATGGTCTAACCCTGAGTGTACAAGTTGGGGAAGCTGAGGCCTAGAGTGGAGCAAGGACTGGCCAAGGTCACGTAATGATCAGGCTGGAAGGTGTGAGGTAGCGGTCAAGCTGGAGGAGACCTGGCAGGGCCTCTCCCCTCACACGTGTGCCTGCGGCGTGGCCCCTCAGCTGTGTCCAGGACTCCAGCCCTTTCCTTTTCCTGCTTTTCTTTCTTTCCATCAGTGTTACGGAATTAAGATCCCTGGCCATCCTCCAAGACCAGCTCAACCCCAGTCTCTCTGAGGCCACTGCCTGTCTCCTCCCCCCTCCCATGGCACTGTGTTTCTCTCTCTTTCACACTCATAAACACACAATCTCCCCTCTTCTCCCCTTGTCTCTCATTAATATCACACTCATCTATCCCGCAAACATATAGTGAGTGCCTATTACATATGTGGAAACTCTGGTGGTGTAGCAGTTAAGAGCTACAGCTGCAAAACCAAGAGGTCAACAGTTCGAATCCACCAGGCGCTCCTTGGAAACCATATGGGGCGGTTCTACTCTGTCCTATAGGGTTGCTGTGGGTCAGAATCGACTCAACAGCAACAAGTTTGGTTTTTTTGGGTATTATGTATGTGCTAAGCACCTTTGCTAAAAGTTGAGGATTAATGGTAGTCAAACAGACAGACATGGTCCCTGTTCATGCGGGGCTTGGGCTCTAGTCAAATGGACAGAAAAGAAACAAGAAATAAATGATAATAATCACAAGCTTTAGTGATACATGCTATGGAAGAGACAGGTCAGCAGATGAGAAAGAATGGGTGGGGGGTGCTCAGCAAGAGTGATCAAGGACGGTCTCTCGGAGGTGGCGGTGCTTAAGCTAAAGGATGACAAGGAGCCAGCCATGAGAAGAGGCCGAGTCCAGGCAGAGGGATCAGCATGTGCAAAGGCCCTGAGGCAGAAATCAGCTGGGCATGCTGCAAGAGTGGGAGGAAAAGAGGCTGGCACACAGAGAGGGGGCAGGGGAGCTGGCAGAAGTGGGAGTCAGGAGCCAGAAGATCAGGAGCTCTTGGGATGGCAGTGGAGGTGGGTGGGCATGAAATCCATGTCTTCTACAGTGCCTAGCCCAGAGCCTAGAGCAGATGGTCAGTGAGTGTCAGAACAAAGCTTTTGGCCCCCATTCCCTGGGGAAGCTGCCCACTTATCCTGCTCTGCCCTTCCCCACAACTGCCTCCTGCCAGGAGTCCTTCCTCTGCCCTAGTGTTTCCTGGTGCCCCCAATAAGCTATGCCAGTGGAAGTCCAGAGGAAAAGGCATTGAGGACTGGAGTTCAGAGAGGTCCTTAGGAGAACAGAGGACTGCAAGCTCATTGGAGTATGGGAGCAATGATGACTGGGATTTTATGAAGCAAGAGGAGCCCAAAGTTCTGATGTTTGCAGTTTCATTCCAAGCCACCAACATTCGTTGGAAAGCCCTGCTGTGAGGCAGGCACAATGATAGGCACCAAGGGGATCCAGGGAGACCTCAGCCATAATCGGAGGTCTCAGAAAGCTCAGTGTGGTTCGAGAAACCAGACCTGGGCTTGGCGTTCACAGTTTACAAAATGTTCTCACAAGCGATCAACTCAGAGACACCTCATGATCCTGGGAGGGAGCCAGGACAAGAATGTTCAGCCCTCTTTAACTGACAGAAATTGAGAGTAGCCAGGACCACCCCTACCCCAGGAGCCAGGATGAGAACACAGCTCTCCTGACCTCCTGCCCAGGTCCAGCCTCTTAGCCCACACCCTCTCCCTAAGAAAAGCTGGTGTAAGAGAGCCACTACTGAATCACAGGATGGGAAACCAAGGGGCATGGCCTCAGCCAGACAGAGAAGGCTTCCTGGAGGAGGGTAGCCTTGAACAAAGACAGAACCAAGTACAGCAGGGAGGAGGGAAGAGCAGGACCAGAGGTGTGAGGCAGGGATAAGCCATTGTTGGGAAAGAAAGATGGCGTGTGGGGTGGCCGTGTCACTGGGTTTACCTGCCTCTTCTCTTCCCAGGTCTTTCTCCGGGGAGTCAATGAGCCCCTGGCCAACAACCCCAGCCCCATGGTGGTGATTGCCCGAGTAGTTCCCAACTACAGGGAGTTTAAGTGAGTGGCATCCAGGTGGACATGAACGAGGAGGCGGGGGAGGGCAGAGGAGAGAGGAAGGGGAGAGGCTGTCATTGTCGCTGCAGTCTGTGATTCCAGGAGCCCCTGAAACCTCCCCTCTCTCCAAGGCCCTTCAAACCTGCCCACTGGGTCTGAGGTCCCAGTAAGCTTCTCGAAGCAGACCACACCTTTCCACAGGGAGAGCGGAGGCTTCTGGAAACGGACAGCTCAGACAGCTCCTGAAGCCAGGCTAGGGGCAGGGAAGTGGGGTCCTGAGTGTCTGCAGCAGACCTGAAATGCTGAGAGGAGCCAGTGTGTGGAGGAGGAGGGGGGTCCTCAGTCCCTGCCCAGTGGTACCTCAGCCATTCCAAACCGGCCTCCCCATCTCAAGCCCACCTCATCTACAGTCCCCTCCTACCCAGGTCAAGGCCACAGGCTCCAGACTGTGGTTTTCCCCAAAGGAAGAGGCCTAAGGGTCATCCCAGAACTTAGCCCTAACTGGAAGTGCCCTCCCTCACCCTCCCGGAGGCCCCTGGCTCCAGCCCCAACTTGTCCAACTCCTCCCCCAGACCTCCTTCTGGGCTTATCGCATTCACAGTTCTCAGGGGGGGATTTGGGCTAGTTCTGCCCCTGGAGGCAGTGGGGGGAGTTCCCCAATGAACACATGCCCCTTAGACCCGCACCACCTCCTGGGCAGCAAGTGTCTGCTTCTGTCACTTCCAGTGACACTGATGGCCCAGAAGGACTCCCTGACTCCTCTGCACCGCCTATGGTGTTCCTCTGATCTGTGACCCCTCCTTGCTTGTTGGAGGAATGAAGATGAGCTCAGTGCGCGCTCGCACACCCACACCCACACCCACACCCACACACACACACACACACACACACACCCTGAATCCCACCCCTGCGGGCTGTCCACGCCCCTGAAGCCTAAACGAGGATTCCTGCCTCGGGGGCAGTTTATTCTGACAGCCTTCCAAAGGGGAGGCAAGAAATGCAAGGCCCATTTTAAAGATGCGACAGCAGCAGAGGCATTCAGATGTGGCTAAGGCCACAGAAAGTCACAGTGTGTCACAGCTGAAGCCCACCTCCTGACCAAGATGAGCTGTCGCATGGCTTTGGACAGCATCAGAAGGACCACAGCCCACCACCTATGCCGCAAGGCCCAGGCGTGGACTAAATGGGCCACTGGAGTCTCCTCTCTTAAGTGAACCTGGTGGCTCCAAAGTGGTAGCCCATGGCTGCTAGGCTTGGGCACAGGGTCAAGAATGCTGGACACTGCGAGCACTCCCTTGCTGACCCCTGTCTCTTTGCCTGTGCAGGTTCAGCCAGATAAACCAAGACCCAGCATTCCTGGGGCTCCCCATCACCCTCCTATCCTTCCCTATCTCGTCGGTGATGAACTTTGATGTTCCTCGGGTCAACCAGAATGGATGCCCTCAGGTATGGCTCCTTCCGTCATTCACCCTCTCACTGCTTCACACTTGTAGTAACTCACCTACTCATTCATTCATTCCCTCACTCATTCAGTCATTCATGTGACTGTTCAATAAGAGTTTACTGAATCCCACTGCATACTGAGGGCCATGCTTGTCTGCGCTGGGGGAAGCTGCCTTCAGGGAAATCTCAGTCTGTGGAAGATAATACCACACATGTGAAAAAGGTAAACATCAACACAAGGCAATGTAAAACCCAACCACAAACCAGAAGGGCCTGTCAGAGCTGTAAAAATCAGAGGAGAGAGGGATGTGAAGCTGGATGATTAGGAAGGGCACCCAGGGACAGGAGTCTTGAATTTTGAAATAGGAGCAGGAGAGGTATAGAGCAATTGAGAACAGCAAGGGCAAAGGTGCGGAGGTGGAAATACACAAGACAAGATACTATCAGGTTGGAGGGGAGGGGCATGTGTTTGCGCATGTGTGTATGGGGGAGGAGGGGACAATCATGGCTGGGTCCAGGGGAATGGCCAGATTGACCTCTTACCATAGTCTGCACTTAAGTGAGAGTTTGCCCTACACCATGGTCCCAAAATTCCCAGGGGCCCTAAAGAAGATTGGTGTTCCCAGAAGTCCTTCCTGTTGTCTGTCTACCATTGGTCATGTCTAGCATGGCAAAAAGAGAATGAGGCACCCCTCTGGAGCCCCAGCCTTCACTTAAAAGCAAAGACGTTTGAAGAAGCCTCAGAATGACGGCGATGGGGAGGAGTGGGACGCAGGGGGACCCTGGGGACGTTGGCTTCAAACCCAACCCAATCCTCGGCCTGATTTCCCCAGAGCCATCTCACACATGGCCCTGCATTTGCCCAGAAAATTAGGAACCAATCAGCAGGCAGTCCCAAGGGGGAGGAGGCACTGCCTGCTTTAATGAGTGTGCCCCCGTCCCACCCCCGGGCCCTCTCTGGCTGCCTTAGCTGCCTAACTAGTCTGGATGGGGGAGGTGCCCCTCGATGCAGAGACTTGCCTCAATGCCTTTTGCATACATGAGACACAAGGCCAAAGGTCCAGCGATGGCAGAACACTTGTTGAAGGTCACCAGGCACCATAGCAGCTAGGCCAGGATGAGAACTCACTGGCAGCTGGCATAGAGGTGCCCAGGTATCAGCAGTGAGTGGACAGGGGCCAGCTGCTGTGGTATAAGCAAGGGGGTGGGGGGAAGGAGGGTGATAGAGTGGGCAAAGGCCCTAACTGGAAGGAGCACCAGTCAGCAGCCCTGGGCTCAGAGCTCACACAGACCCCCTGCTCCACCCCTCCCTGAGCTTCAGTCCCCTCATCTCTACAATTGCAGGTGTGGAGGTGGAGTGGTAATTTCTAGAACTTGCCCTCTTTCATGGAGTCCTGGGTAGTGCAAACAGTTCGCGCTCAGCTACTAACCTAAAGGTTGGCAGTTTGAGCCCACTCAGCAGTGCCATGGAAGAAAGGCCTGGCAATCTGCTTCTGTAAAGTTTACAGCCAAGAAAACCCTATGGAGCAGTTCTACTCTGTAACACACGGGCGGTCATGAGTTGAAATGGCCTCAGTGGCAACAGGCTTTTCGTTTTCTTGTCCTCTCTGACATCTTGGGACGCCGGAATTTCCCACCAGCTGCCCACTATGCTAAAGTACTGTGGGTGGGGAGTTTGAGGATGTGGGAAACCTGGGTTTGACCTGTCAAAGAAAGACAAATCCAGACTTTGATAGGGAGAAGCTTTCTTCATAAAGAAAGAGTATTGCAACAGGGAAAATTTTCCCCACTCGGAAAACTGCAAGCATCTCAAAATCAAACAGAAAAAGGCTTCTCTTTTATAAAGAGGGGCATGCAGAGATAAGCAGAATCTTTTGGGAGAAAGCCGGACAGGCAAGGGGAAATGGCCATTCGGTCCGACAGGAAAAGTGTCTCACTGTTGTCAGCCAAGTCCCAGAAGAAGCTGCTAAGGGGGGCAAAGTCCAAGTTTTTAAAGCCTTTTCCAGCAACGGGAAAAACCCAAGTCACAAGAACGGAAGAAAGCCCGAAGAAAAGCCGGGTAAAAAAAAAGAAAAGGTAAGAAATGGGCAGTTGTGAACACTTGGTCAGACCCAGCTCTGAATCTTACAAGCTGTGTGACCTTTAGCAAACTGCTCTCCAGGCCTCCTGATTCCTACCTTATGGAGCTGTTGCTGTTCACTGCCCTCAAGTGGGCGCCCAGCCCATGGCAACCCCGGCCCTGCGCCATTCCGCTGGTAGGGGACCTGATCGGTGTGATCCATAGGATATTTCACTGGCTGATTTTCAGAAGTAGATCAGCAGGTCTTTCTTTCTACTCCATCTTAGTCTGCAAGCTCCACTGAAGCCTGTTCGGCATCACAGCAACACCAAGCCTCCGCGGATAGGCAGGAGGGAGTGGCACATGAGGCGCATTGGCCAGGAACAGAATCCAGGTCTCTCGCAAGGAAAGCGAGAACTGTACCGCTGAACCACCACTGAGCCCACTGGGGCTTTTGGGAGAACATAAAGGGAAACAGTGTGCAAAGCGTCCAAGCCCAGGGTCGAAGTTAGAAAGGTTTCGTCCTTTTCAGAATGCACCTCTCCGACTGCCAAATACCCCTCAGAAGCCCACCTCACCATTGTCCTTGTTACCTTTGACTACAAGTAACAGAAACCCCAACTGGATCAAGTTAAACAATAAGGATATTTATTGTCACACATC